AGAGTAATATATATATATATATATATATATCATGTCTTGCTGGTTTTAGAAACACATTGAAGTCTTTTTTGTCAATTTTGTTTCAAAGTTACCTTTTTTTAGTTATGACGATTTTAATATTCTACAAAATTATAACAAATTTGAATAATATAATAATAATTAAGATAATAAGTAATCAAAAGTTACAATTCAAAAAATATCACTAACAGTTTATATTCATCTAATTCATTCATGATAATAATTTGAAAATGATATTTTTCTAGTTTTAGTGGATTACTTTTGAAGCAGAAGAACGATATAGTATTAAAGTAATACTTATATTGTTATATATTATAAATACAAATCACACATTAATTACTTAACAAATTAAAAATATCATCTTTAGTTACTTATGTACATTATGATAATATAAAATTGTATGTTTCTTCTATAGCTGTATCGATAAGTGGTTTCAAGTGAATCGTAGCTGCCCTGAACATCCTGGAGATTGATTTGTACCTGCTGAACTTGGTGAAGTATAGTGGAACAAGTTGCTAGCCCAATGGACATTTACGTCGATGGGATTGAGGTGGCAGGAAATCGCAGAAATTTTAAAAGAAGCTAGTCAAGGTGGCTGCTAGTCCGCAATGGTGATTGGTGCGTGCGGTGAATTGTTCGACTGAACGAGACTCACTCATCAAATCGAACATACGGAAATACATGATGTTTGATTCAATCCTCAATTCTGCTATTATTAAGCGGAGGACTTAAATAACAAAAAAAAAATCGCCATAGGATTCAACGATACACAATGCTATTACCTATACGTATCTATAATTAATCTATTATTGCTCTATCGCTTAATACCAATTGTACTATATTTATAAATTTTACTTAGTTTTACATCTTGAACTCAATTTAGCGCTTAAGCAGGACAATCTTTATTATTATCAATCATGATTTCTTCTTATTCTTTTTACGATTCTTTTTTTTTTCTTTCTGGAAAAGGGGGACTGGACGAATCTTAGTCAAGGAGACCTGCATAAGAGCAGGTGAGCTCTACCTTAGATAAGTTTAGTTATATACTTTAATTAATTTTTAGTATTGAGACGATATATCATAATTTTCGTTGTCTGTTGGGGAATGAGTGCTAGAAAGGATATTTTTGATACTTTCATAAAAGGGAGAGCCAGAATGTGTATAAGAGTTTCGAAGGCTGGAGATGACGACGTAACACTGTTGATGCTGTAGTAACAATAAAGGTTCTGATTTAACCTTCCTTACTGAGATTCATACTAATGTGATAATCTCTTTTGTTGTTATTAGAGAGAATTGACACGCTCCGTGTTACCGAGATGTACAGTCTATTGTCGATTACTGAGGATTACCTACTGTATAATTAATCTCTTTTGTATATGGATAAGGATTGACATAACCCAGCAGTAGTTTTTGTAATATGAACAATCAAAGTTTATCATTGTTCCGATAATATATGCGCAAAATCGTATATTTCGGCTCGGATTTGTCTTTACGCGATTTAAAAATACAAACTAACAAAGCAATGAGACGAATACAATGAGAACAGAAAAGCGAGAGCGATACGATGCAAAAACGAGAGAGGAACTAGAAATAAATTATATTAATAAAAATCGAACGCGTAAACATAAAGTATGTACATATATATATGTGTGTGTGTATGTATATATATATATATATATATATATATATATATATATATATATATATATATATATATATATATATATATATATATATATATATATATATATATATATATATATATATATATATATATATATATATATATATATATATATATATATATATATATATATATATATATATATATATATATATATATATATATATATATATATATATATATATATATATATATATATATATATATATATATATATA